TTGGGTGTGTTTCCTTTCAACTTCAATGTGGTGGTCTACAGAGGCCAAATGCCAAAACAGTTATCCTCCAATATTTCTGGTCCTGACTGTATATCCCTATTTCCTTTTAGGAGCTCAAGGCAGTACAGAGAAGGGGTTCTGCCTCATGTTATTCATGTAATAACATTCTGTGAGGTAGAGTTGAAAAATAGTGATTGGCCCTAAAGTACACAACAATTGCAAGGTCAAATATGGACTTGAATCTCTGTCTTCCTGATTTCAGTCCGATACCTTAATCACTAAATCCCATTAATTCTCATGCAGTTTCTTGAAACACCAGAGTAGAAGATATCCTCTGATTCCAGAGGAATTGTACTGAATAAGCATTCATCTAATCCTCTGGCTTTACCTTATAGCACAAAGATAACCAAGAAGACTATTTCACTCCCACATCCAGCTTCATCTATCAAAACATTTTTCATCCTCCCTTCCTAACCCAAGATTAATACTAACTGTCCTTGCACTTTAGCACACATCTTGAACACGAACTCTGCCCACACATACTTTTGTAAAGAAACAGGGATCAACTATCAGTGCTCTTATAATTATCTACAGCAATTCTAAATCACAAGTGTGGTTTAAGCCATGAAAATGATAAGAAGAAGAAGGTCCTGTTTCTTAATTATATAACTGACTATACTTGGGACCATAAACAATTCAAAACTATATATTTTTTGAGAATACAATGCAATAGTGAAAAATCACAATACTGCATTCCAGCCTTCTATGCAACATTTAAGAAATCTGGAGCACATTTCTTAGGCTACATTAGATAGAAAATATCTGATCATAATGAGATGTAATATTAAAATTAAAAAGAAATTCTTGGGGATTTTTCCTTTGATCATTAAGGAATTCTACATGGGAAACATGGTTTTGAAGAGCATAATACAATTTTTTTTAATTAAAAAATGAGCTGCGTTCAGAATAAATAAGCTAAACACAGTGCTAAACCATAACGGCTTATCTAGCCTTGGCATAGTGCAAAGTATGACTCCAGCCAAGGTGGTTCATAGCTTAATGTATCATGTGAATCAAGACACCACTAGAAATTAACCTTGCTACTGCATCTAGAGATGTCATTATAAATTTCTCAAAATGTGAACTATTGGATCTAAGGGATTCCAAAAAAGAGAATATACAATCATTAACAGGAATTATTCCAGCTATCTCCTGTGAATGTCATCTGGCACGTCTCCTTTATGTTGCATGTTCATTGTTCATGTATCTTGGAATTTCTAACAGATTATAAAAATATGGCAAGCAGGATTTGGTTTTGGATAACTGAATTACCTACAAGAATTCACCAGAAATAATTCACTGGTAAGCACTTATTATTTGAGGGGGAAAATACCTGTGCTTGCTGACAACACAATGAATATTTCTTTTCCTTTCAATTTCAATAGGACTTTCTTCCAAATAAGGGTAGTTAGGGCTACAGCCTTTATAGGCATGGAATCTGAATTATTCCTTGTCTCTTTTTAAAAAGACTAGACTGCATGTAATGTTAGTCACCAACTGGCAAAGGGGGAAAAAAATTAAACTGCAGCTGTTAGCACTTTTTATGTTTCTTGAATAAATAGAATGTATAACAAACAGTGTTCCTATTTCCAGTCATGCTTTTCCAGGGCCATTAATGTAAAGCCACAGAAAACCCCAACTTGAAACCAGTCATCTGGTCTTTTGTTTCATCACTGGAACGTCAGAATTTTTTTAAAAAAATAACTTTTCCTTCCTAAAATGTTCTTTATCTCATGAGTTAACAAACTGTGTAAGATTATGCAAATCTCCTAGTAGATTTTACAACTAATTACCAAGGGTTTTTAATTCCCTGTGGTCCAATAGCAGTACAAAAAGCCTCCCCCCATTTCCTATACTTGGCTATTGATATAAAGAAAAGCCTGAGGAGATTTGGAAAGACTTGCGTACAGGCTTCCTTTCTAGTATTAAGAACAATTTCCTACCCTGAGCATCTGCTCAGAATCACCTTGAGCCATAATTTCAAGTACGCCTGAAATGCTATCCTGCACTTGATTAGGTGGATCTAGCAAGCCTTAAATCTGACTATCTTCATGTAACTTACTTTATTCTCTATTTCCTAAACACCCCATAAGCAGGCATATAACAGTATAAAATCAAGATCAACAGTAGACTGTTCCTTCTCCCATTAAATTTAACAAAATTTAACTTTGCTGATTAAAACTATCAAGTATATGTCCATTTGCTTTGATTAAGAAAAACAATTTTGTTTCATCAGAACAGAATTTTCATCATTGTTATGCATTCAGAAATAACTCAGCATACAATTTAGTTTCATATTATTCACTAACGCTAAGAATATTTCTTTGGCAATCTATGTGGATTCCCCATATAATATTGTAAAATGAAATGTTCATATTGCAGAAAAGGAGAATTACTCCTTTAATAAATACACATAAAATGTATAAAAACACCAACATATAGATACAAAAGGCTTATATTATATGAATTCCCTTATGCACAAAAACAAAAAAAACAAACAAACCCTTGTCTGGATTGCATATATAAAAAGAAACTCTTCAACTGTTTGGATGTTATCCTTATTCTCTAGCACTAAAAGATTATTCCAAACACTTATGAGTACAGCTGTGTACTCCTGCCATGTGTCCAAAGTGTTGGTTATCCCAAAGATTTTTATTCTGGTGTCTAGCACAGCATATTTACTAAAGAAGTCCTTAAGAGATGTTTGAAAAATTAAGTCTTATCCAAGTGAATCCCTCTAGAAAACATTTTTATGGTGCCTCAATGACAGTATGCAAGCATCAGTGAACTAGAGCTGATAAACTAAGCCTTTTTATTGCTGAAACCACACCCCCACTCATTTCAGAGATGACTGTGAAATCAGTTTGAAAAAAATGAAATTATTTACTTGGATAATTGTTGGTGTTTGAACATTAAATACTTTCTCTCCTCTTGCTTGATCACCTACCTATCATTATGATTATTGACATTTCAATACATTTTCATGCACCAAATCTGCTCATTGCTCTTCTAATCAGTTACCAGATATAAGTAATTGATTACCAATCAACAGTGTGAATTCCAGAAACCAATCTAGATGCTATAATTTGCATGAAGTTCTCTAAATGTAAGATGACTAATTCATGTATGAGTAACTGTGATCACATCTGCTTTCTCTGTATAGCAATACATCCTAAAGACAGAGCATTGCCTGTGACACTGTTAATTAACAAAACAAGGAGACATTCCTGTTAGTACATTCTTAAAAATCATTGACA